CTGAATCTTTTAAGTGTGACAAATATGCAAAAAATAAAAAAAAACAGGAAGGGGGCAAAAACCTTTTCACGGCACTGTATGTGTATATATATGTGTGTATATATGTATATATATATGTATGTATGTGTGTGTGTGTCATATATATGTATATAAGCATGTATATACACTACTGCTCAAAAGTTTGGGATCACTTAGAAATTGTATTGTTTTCCGTGGAAACACACATGAAATTAGTCTGAATAGGAAATATAGCAAAAGAACAGGACGTGCTGACATTGTCAGAGTTAGAAATAATGATTTTGATGGAAATAATGAATTTTTCAAACTTTGCCTTCATCAAAAAAAACAAAAAAAAAAACACCTTTTGCAGCAATTACAGCCTGCCAGACCTCAGGCATTCTAGCTGTCAATTTTCCAAGGTAATCTGATGAGATTTCACCCCATGCTTCCTGGAGCATCTCCCACGACAGCTCAACAGAGTTCAGATCCGGAGACCGCTTATTCTTCAAATATTGCTGACACGTTTTGGAGGTGTGTTTTGGGTCATTATCCTGTTGTAGGATGAAATTGGCCCCAATCAAGTGCTGTCCACAGGGTATGGCATGGCGTTGCAAAATCTTCTGATAGCTTTCCTATGCAATGGTTCTCAGCTGTGCAACACAATTGCAAAAGGGTTGTCTCATAATCAATTAGCCTTATAAAATGATTAACTTGAATTAGCAGTCATACCAGGAGATTGATGCAGAGGACTGACAATTGCTAATAATAGGCCTCGATGCAAAAATGTAGATCATTCTTTAAAAATCATCTGATTCATTGTAATTGTTTGTGAAATGGATAAAATTGCTTGTGAATTGCATGAAAATATGTTTTTCTTTGGACTTTTGAGCGGTTATGTATGTGTGTGTGTGTTAGGGCTGTCAAAATGACTGAAAACGAAATTCAAATTTTCTACTTAAATATGATCAAAATTCTAATTATATTCGAATTTAAAAGGCATAATTTCAGTTAGGGGGGAAAAAGCGTTTGGATTCTCTCCTGAGGCCACAAGAGGGCACATCGCGCAAAATATTATGCACGTTTCTTCAAAGCATAATAAAATAACACGACTATCTTTGAAAAAAAAAAGTGCATAATGTTTAAAATAATGTTTATAAACCATATATAATTAATAAAGTTGCTTAAACAATTAGAGAGAGAAAAACAGCACCATGCATGTATGTAGAGTTTAATACAAAGGACCGAAAACCAATCACAAAGAGTAGGCTACTTTCTTCATTTAAAAACATGAGAT